GAAATATATGGCTTACGATTCTTTTGGGCTTCATATTTTTTATCTGATTTGCATTGGCATCATTTAATTTTTACCAATTAGTAGTGATGTACTTTTGTGAATGCTTTAAAATCATTTTGACTTCCAAAAGACTGTTTTGACCTGGCTAGACTCTGTAATGTGAGATTAACAATGTAGTAATTAGTGTTTGCTGGTTTTGAAGTTCTGGTGGTTTATTACCTACTTAAAAAAAGATTTGTTCCTGATAGCTTTATTCAACATTTGATCTGAAGAAAGAAAAGAAATAGTGCCCATTAACTCATTCATTCTTTCTTTTCGAAGTTGAATATTATTGAAAATGGAGTTTTGCCTTAGTAAATATCCAATTTCAAAGTTTTGAGAGAAAACTAATCCTCTCTCACTTTACTGTGTCATCTATCATAATCAGCATCTCAATAGTCAGTTCTGAATTGTATATAAAGGATAAACATATTAATTGATAATTGACATGCTTCAGTGCATTTAACAGTAAAATACATGATAAAACTTAAAGACTGTAGAGACAATTGAAAAATTTTAAGCTAGATTTCTTTAACAGGAGGCAAGAACTAAAAGAAACAAATTCAATTAAACTAAGAAGAGATTGATTAATATTTAAAGGCCACAGAGATCAGCCATAATGAAATTCCTCAAATAAAAATATAAATGAGAAAACTGACAGGAAAATAAATTAAAGTCTCAGGTCAAGAAAGCATTATTACTCAGTTTTGAGTCAGTATAAGATTAATAAGACAGTTAAGAAATTCCATGAGAATTGTAGGTAAGATAGAAGGGGGATAGATTATAAAATTTTATTGAGTATTTACATACAATATGCCAGAAAACATACTTATGTATCCATAAATTATTATATTCAATTTCAGCAATATATTCATAAAAGAAATGCTAATTTACAGTGGTAAATTGGCAAGTTATTAACAACTAGCTCTCCAGCGGCAGGATTCCAAATTTGTGTGTCTGGTATGACTATCAAACCATATTCAATTTTAAAACTATCACCATGGTATCAACTGGCATGAAAACATCATTGAAAACTAACAATGAACTTTATAAATTCAGCAGGCTACAGTATACCAATACTGCCAAATCTAGTTTAAAAAAAATAATAAAAATCATAAATAAAGGAAAGGATAGACTCAAATTTATGTTTTTCAAAAACTCAAGACTTTTACTAAGCCAGTTTAGAAAACAAAACAAAAATTTGTCTGCATGGCTATTGCAAATGTTATTATAGAGCTGTGGTTTGGCCAGCTACAACATTTATTAGGAGCTTAAAAGGATCTAAAAAACCCAATGGCAGAGCTAGAGGAATGAAGTCCACCACCTCTGGACATCCAGAAAAAAGCCTTACCAGTTTAAAACTTGTCTTATAACTCTCAGTTTAAAAATAACAACATACCTATAGAGAAAATATATGTCTTCCTATTTTTTAAAACAAAGGATTTTAGGAGAAAAAGAAAAAAAACAAAAACAAACAAAAAATAACACACACACACACACACACACACACACAAAACAATCAGAAAAAAATCAAGTGATGACTTAAGGCTACCTATATGCAATGAATTTTAAAAGAACAGAGGAAAATACACTAAGAGAGGATATCTGAAGTTGAGGATCTAAAAAAAAAGTTGGCCGGGTTCAATGTGACAAAATGCTTGATATTACATAGAAAGAAAAATCAATACCATCTTATTTATAAAAAGGGAAGTGGTTACATGGCTGTGGCAGAAGTAAAGAGCACCGGTTTTAGCACACACATGGCAGGGTAAAATGAGTCACACAGAAGAGTCGTATTTGCAGGAAGCTATGTTGGCATGAGACTACAAGAGATAAGAAATCTACATTTTAAACTGTCCTAGAGCTTCTAATTTGAGGTGGCCACAAGAATTAAAAGCAAACAAAAATCTTGCCTCTATTCACACCATATTCACATCTAGATCACATCACATTCACACATAGAGTGGGTTCTTATCTTCCACTCTTCTCTCTCCTTTTGCCTGGACAGTACAACATTGGACTCACACAAAACTCGTATTCAATGAGCAGATAAATTGGTGCAATCATACACTCAACATAATCACATTAAAAAAAAAAAAATATATATATATATACACACACACACACACACACACACACACACACACACACTCTGATTTAATAGATGAGAAATGAAGGCAAGGAGAAGATACTTGATTTAACTACTGACAGAATATTAATGGCAGAAACAAGGTTACATCCTAGATCTTCTGATTTGCAGTTATATTCTTTTTCTAACTTTCCTTCTGCTTTAGCTGAATGAGAAGTAAGGGGTTTAATTTTTCCTTTGCTTTAACATCTTAAGTAGAAATTGGTTTTTCTTTATAGGATTAGATTGACTTTTTTTTTTTTTTTTTTTTTTTTTTTTTTTGCTAATCCTTATTTTTTCCCAGTCTTCATGCATGCACATGCTGCTTTTTAGTATCATTCTTACTCCACCAGTGTAATTGTCTCCACTTGTCCCTATTCTGAGCCCAATATATATTTCTCACTACAATAGGTGTCTATCACCATCATCCTATGTCCAGCATTGGGGCACACTTTACTCCTATGTCTAAACTAACCTACAGACATTGGATCACATGGATGTAAGATGTGACATTGGATTCCATGCATGTAAGAATTAGAAGTAAAACTTCTGAAAGAAGGATGAATGTAATGAGTTCATTAGAAATAATGTTAGAAAGAATATCTGGGGAATTTTTAATTTTTTATACTTCATAAAGAAAATATGTCTTAGCCACAACTTATAATCATTACAACATATGTTTATTGAAATAATCTATATTGCAGATTGCCTTTTTGGCATATATTAAATTTATGTTGATATCTAAAATTAAATTTTAATTGTATGAGATATTAATGATATATAAATAATTAATAAGTAGTTGATATGTGTGTATTTAACACTGTAGATAAGAAAAAATTTAAATAGCTACTTCCAAGGTCATGACATAAAATACAAAAGGGATTTGAAATAGAAACTAAAAATGATACCATGTACATTAGAAGCAAACTCAGAGCTACAACATCTAATATTTCTGTTAATCTAGTAGTTTTGCATATACTGTATAGAAAAGAACTGGCAATCACATTCATGAAATCCTTACCCCTGTTGTCATGAGAGTTTTCTGATTTGCTTTTATAAAGCAGAGTACAGAAGATATTAAAATGGAAAAATCTGAAGTATACATCAGCTTTAATTGCACAGAGTGATTTAAAATTCTAGATTAATTTTCCCTTCCAAAAGCCAAGTGGGTATCAGATGACTCTGGGAATTCAATTCAATAGAAATCAGATCAATCAACTAAATAATAAGCTCTACTATAACAGCGAGAAACAAAGAGCAAGAGAAAGTTCTTGATTTCATTGTGTTCATATTTTTTGAGGAGAGAATAAATAAAACTACATATGAAGTAGCTTGAATATCATGAGAGGGTGCATAAGATAAGGATAATTCAAGTTATCAACATTTATTAAATCCTCATTAAGGACTAAATGAAGAAAAATAGAAATGAAAATGCAAATAACTGCTATAACCAGAAAGAATCAGAGAACTATTTATAGTTTATATGATTCAGGTTTTTATTATATTTTCATGTGGTTGATTTCATAAACTAAAACTTGCCTATTGCAGAGTTCCTAAACTTTACCTTAGCCCTCTGATCTTGGGCATTCAATCAGATGAAGACTGTGATAAGTCAGTTCTACATGATTTCTGGTAATATTGCTTAGGCCACTGTTTCTTTTTTTCTCCTAATACTCAATATAACATTTAACCTTTAATATCATCATTCCCATATTGCCAGACTCTTTAAAAAAGAATGAAATAGTTGAAACATGAAAAAAATTGCATCAAAGTGTTTTAAATCAAAGAACATGTATTCTCTAAAAATAGTTTTTCTTACTCCAAAACTTAATTATTTGAATGAAGCTACTAATGTTTGGGTAAATGCACAAGTCACCAAAACATGTATCTATTTTAATTTTATAGTGTTTACATGTGATGTATTATATTAACATGTGACTATATCTGTTTTCCATCTGTTCGTATGCTTAACTTCTTATTTTTCTTTGACATACTTTCATAGACTGTCCATAAAAATAATAACCCTAACTATTACAGTGAATTCCTTCTGAAGACATTATCTAACTTTGATTAGATTTAGATAGTGCCAAGAAAAAAGATTGGAAATTAATACAATCTAGTGTATAAAAGCAGTTGTTGTTAGAGTACTTATATGTCACATTTTTTATTCCATTCCCAACCACATCTAATTTTCCTCACTAACTTTTTTAACTAAATAGAATGATAATTCGTCTTTGTCTGCAACATTATTGCAATAAGTGAACTAGTATTGCTCCTTCCTATTTATTTTCATTTATAGAATTGTATCTATTTTGATACTTAAGTAAAACAAATAGCACATATCTGAAATAAGTTTTCTTATAAATATGACATTTTTTGGCCTTAGGTTATATTTTTAATGACAGTTGCTTTCTCATTTTGTAAAATGTTAAACAACTTTTAAACATGTCATTTCTTCCTTACCGAATTCAACAGGAATGAAAGCTACATATGTTTTATATTATTTATATGCATTGTCGCTGTAATGACTATATTGACAAAGTTTTGTCACTATCATTGATTTCTAGCTATGAATTCTAAAATAGTAATTTCCAGTACTACTTTAATCCATGAGGTAGTGGACGGATTTCCGGGAAATGAATTCCTTTATCATGTTATAGTCATTCTTTCCATAGTATTTTACATTACAATTTATATTCTAGAAACTTAATTTGCTTTACTAATACTTAGAGAATCAAATTTATGGGAAGGATGCTCTTGATGATCTTCAAATTTTCTTTAATAAGACAATAAGGAAAGAATGTAAATATTTGCAATTTCAATAGAAACTTACCTTTCCCACATATTGATAATCAGATCCTGTATATTCTTCCAGCAAGAAAAACTGATTCCACATCCAACCACGTTTTTGACGATGCAGAATTTTGCCATCACTTCTTGGTATGCGTGGACCTAAAATTCGTTGCTGAGGCTCAGGAGTCCTTCTGAACATTATCTCTGGAGAGCAGAAGTGTGGCAAGCATACCCAGAGTAGAAACAGTAGCAAATATCGATATAATGTCATAGTTCACTCCTTGAAAATTCCCAGCGTGGATGAAGAAAAATCAATCTTACTTTATTGGGTTGAATTTTACTGTGTTTCAGCTGGTTTCCAACATTTCATCAGTGTTTTGTACATGTTTCCAAAAGCTTCAAATAAACAAACAAACAAGAAAGTCAGTTAACAATATTGTGAATGTTAGCTGTCGGTTTAAAGTTATTGTGACAAAGATTAATGGATAATAGCAACCAAAATATTTATTTCCCTTTTTACATAAAAGAATGGTTAATTTGAGAAACTGCTTGTCTAGTAACATGTCTACAATTTAAGAAAATAAAGTAGTAAGTGATTTCTTTCAAACACATCCTAAAGATGGGACACATTAAGCTTTATGTCTTTTCCTGTTTTGGCACTTTAACGGTTTTCAGGAATTATAATCTCTATATAGAGTAGAGATGTAGTTAATTTTGCATGTCAGTATTTCCAGAGCAATTTAACATAAATTAAAACATTAAAAACAAAATGGTGATATAAATAGCCTATAGAAAACATGCAACTGTTCTGCAATGCAATTGTATGTAAATGGTTTTTAAACAGTGTCACCCTTTCTTCTAATTTAATCCTGCTCAAATGTTAAAGTAAGGTGAAAAACAAAACAAAAACAAAGTAGGAGTGCCTTCGGCTTAAGACCTCTCTTCTGCTCCCCATAGGTTGGTCTGTGGAACCCCTGGAATTAACTAAAAAAAAAAAAAAAAAATCACTACTACAGCAAATCAGTTTGTAAAATAATGAACACTAGAAGAATATAATCATGTTGCTATGTTTGGAAAATATGTCCACTTCTACCCACACCCACTGCTACTCTGTAGGTCTCAAACTCCATGATGCCCCTGATTGCTCTCCATCTCCCTTCCTGCATTTATTTTCTCATCAAAACAATCCCAGCTACTTCTGGTACAATGCCAGTCCAGCCATGTTACATATTTGCCCAAAATACTCCAATGACTTTTCATCTCACTTTGCTTAAAACCCAATATCTGACAAAGACCTACAATTCTATACTTTGTTTCATGACTTCTGGTCACTTCTCTGACCTCATGTTCTACACTAATCCCTCACACTAATCCCCAAAATTCGGCCTTTCCAGCAACAGTGTTCTTTTCACTTCACCCTGCAAACCATGTCATATGCTTTCCTTCTCAACCAGGACCTTTCCAGCTGTTCCCTCTTCCCTGGAATGCTTTTTTCTGTAGATATCAACTTCAGTAGAACATTTGTTTTCTGTAGAAATGTCTTAAACCGCCACTAACATATCGTATATACCTGTATATTACGTGTGCTTTATTTATTTAATATGTGTATGTATATATATATATATATATATATATATATAGTTTATAATTAGTTTATATTATATATATATAATATAAACTATATATATATAGTTTATATATATATATATATATATATATATATATATAGTCTTTCAGCTATAATCCCAGGAAGGAAGGGAATTTGGCTCTTTTCTTTGCTGCTGTTTCCACTGTGCCTAGAATAGAATATTATGCCTAGTATATCCTATTTAATAAAGAGGGAATATGCTAATTGACCCTCATGTCATTGCAAAGATGGCGGTGCCCACAGCCAATAAGGAGGGAATATGCTAATTGACTGTCATGCCCTCAAAGATGACGGTGCCCACAGCCACAAGATGGCGACACCCAGTTTTCCCTCAGCCCTGCCAGGGAAGCAGGCCTTGCCATGTGCCTGCCTCTGGAGTCCTCCAGTCTCCTCAGCCCCCTTCCCCCCAGGGCTGGCCCAAGGCACAGGCAAGCCAGCTTCCCAGGGCTGCTCAAGGCTCAGGTAACCAGGGCCAGCCAAGGCTTGTGCTGCTGGCAGTGGCAGCAGCAGAGGTGTGATGGGCATCACATTCCCCTGATCACTCAGGTCACCTCCTGCCCCTGAAGGCTCTCGGACTGTGAGAGGGGGCAGGCCGGGCTGAGGGACCCCCATCGTCCAGTGCATTGCATGAATTTTCATGCATCAGGCCTGGAGTTATCAATAAACCCTTTGATCGAATGAATGGATGAATGAATGAATTATAAGTTCATTTGAACATCCAAGTACTATACTTCCTCCTTGTAGTTATATCTCAACAATTATGAATTAAAATACACATTTTAAAATTATAATTATTTGATTGTATTATTTATTTATATTATATTATTTGAATACTACTTTTTATTTTAAAACTAGAAGCCCATTGCACAAAATTTGTGCATGGGTGGGGGGGTCCCTCAGCTGAATCTGCACTCTCTCCAATCCTGAAGCCCTGTGGGATCGGGCCTCAACTGGCAATTGGACATCCCTCTTGCAATCTGGAATCTCTGGCTCCTAACTGCTCACTTGCCTGCCTGCCCGATCCGCTAACTGCCCTTCCCTGCTTATTTGGTCGCCCCTATTAACTTTTTTTTTTTTTTTTTTTTTTTTTTTTTAATCTTATCCCCCTCACACACAATTGTATTTGGCTTCCTTATTAGTTTCTCCCTCTCACACAATTTTCCTCTCTCCTTTACATAACACTTTTTCCTACTGACTCGTCATTTATAAACTTTTCTTTCCTCCTTATTTCCTACTTTGTTGCATCATCCTTTTCCCCATCTTTCTCCTACTCTCCCTCCCTCCTCACATTCCTTCTTTCCTTTATCTTTCCCCCTGCCCTTCCTCCCTTTTTCCTTTCTTTGCACCTTAATTTTTTCTTCACTTCCTCTTGAGACCTGCTTTGCTCCCTCCCCCATTTCTCCCTTCTTCCCATTCTCCTTTTAAGCTCTATCGGATCCCCCTTAAAACTTTTCTTTCCTCCCTCTTTCTCTCTCATCCCACCTTCCCCATACATTCTTCTCTACTTATTTCCAGTTTTAATATCTATCTGCCTACTCACTATCATTTATCTTTTTTCTTTTCTGACTCGTACTTTTAAAATCTATCCCCAGTACACAACTATACCTTTCTTGCTCCTACAGCTCACTCATACATCCTCTTTCCTTTCTTTAACTCTGCTCTCTACTGACAACTTTATAAAGTTCTTCCTTTCCTTCTTAATACTTCCATTTGGGGGGGTGTTAAACCCCAGCCTAAGGCTCAGCCCCAGCCAGGTGTTTGCTGCCCCCTGTTCCCTGGCCTCCCTGCCACTGTCCTGCTCCCATTCCCTGCCTGTGACACCCGGCTCAGTGAGGGTGGCCAAGGCCTGCACAGCCTGGGTGCTGCTGCTGCCACGAAGCAGGAACGCCTTTGCCCAGAAGACCTCAGACATCCACCACTCCGTCCTGGACCTGTGGGTGCCTCCCCACCAACGGTCCGCACCAGAGGGCCACTGCCCTCCTCCCGAGTCTGGGGAAGGCTCCTGCCCTGCCCCTCGCCAGGAGCACCTGCTCCCCCAACCCATGGTTGCCACCCTCTCCTGCGTGCAGCCCCGAGTTTCCTTTCGTTTTTCATTCCTGCATCTCTCTCTTGTTCCCTTTCTGTATTTCTGTTTCTCCTCTGGGCCTGTCTGCATGCAGACCTGCCTTCCTCTCTCTCTCCTTTCTTGTTCCCTTTTATTGTATCCTATCCAACCCGGGGCCTTGCAGCTGCCTGAGCAGAGGGTGGGGACGCAACCTCCTGATCTGGTCATGACGTGACACTGTAAGAGATAATTTGCATATTTCTCTATTATTAGTATAGATTTTCAATTTGTTGTTTGTTGTTTTGTTTTCTGTGTGGCATGGATTTTATTTCAGGACAAAATAAAATATGTTATATAAAGTGATTTGGGCACCAAAAGGATTGCGTTCTGCTTCTCTAATATAACAATGCATTCTCAGTGTTCCAGCATTGACATTTATGCTTTGATCCACAATGATTTGTAAGCAATCTGTTTACTTTTATTGTTTTATTGTTAAGAAGATTTGAAGGTTAATGCAAACATGCTTAGAAATAAGATTCGTGGTAAAGCAGTATTTCTCTTGAGTGCATTAAATGGCAGTGGCGCTCTCCACAGCATGAGGAGATTACAACGTGACAGATGTAAACTGCATTAGAACACATCCTGTAATGCCCTACTCCAGGCAGAGAAATTTTCTGATGCATAAAACGGTTTTATATCACAAAGTACTGATGCTACAGAAATTCAAATTGATTGGATTCTAAGTAATAGGAACTTTTACCAAAATGATGTTTATCTTTTAAAATGCCTTTTCAGGTCATGTTAGACCTTATTTTCTATAAACTTATACTGTTCCCTAAGAGTTAGAGAGTTTGTGTAATTTAGGGTAACTTCTCCTTTGAAAACTTTAAAAGTTGTTGAAGCAAAAGTCATCCTTATTTCAACTCTCTCTCTCTCTCTCTCTCTCTCTCTCTCTCTCTCTCTCTCTCTCTCTCTCTCTCTTTACAGTTGAATAATATTTGCCAGAAATTATTATACCTGTGACTATTTTTAGTACAATTATGACATTTCCTATTATTTTAGAAGCTTAAGTCCAAATTTGGGGAATTAGTAGCTGAAAATTGCATTAATAAAAGATGTTAGTAAATAATTGGCACTCCACATAAACATGGAATCTTTTTTCCATTACTGTTCTTGTTTCTATTATTTATAATCAAGTTCTTGAAGGCTATATAGTGAAATACATTACTCAGTACTTATTTAAGATACTCAAAATATCCTTAAAATATATTTGACATAAATATTATTTGATAAAATCTTCTCAAACAATAGCAAGATTAAATAAATGTGAAAAAAAGCATAATGTTTCTAATTTTGATTAAACTGATATATAAACTTTTTTTTATAGATTGGGCCTAAAAGGTCAATAAAATTTTCTCATAGGTTTCCTTTTAGAAATGTTTTTAATACTTTTTTTTTTATTGCTGTTACTATTACATATCTCCTTCATTTTCTCCTCCTTTGCCCACCTCTACCCTGTCCCCACCCCTTTCCACTCTAGCCTTCACCACACTGTTGTTTATGTCTATGGGCTATGCATGTATGTCCTTTGGTTAATCGCCTCTCCTTCTTTCATCGAGTTCTCACAACCCTTCCCCTGTGCCATCTGTCAGTTAGTTCCATGTATCCATGCCTCTGGTTCTACTTTGCTAGTCAGGCTAT